GTGAGCGCCCTCAAGATGAACCACTCCATGATGTTCCCCAGTACCGAGGTCAGGCTGTGCCATTCATGTACTACTGTTCTGCTGAATGAAGAGCTGAAACAATGGCAAAACAGAAGTCCTCTTCTGATATGGTAGTGGGGAGCAGCTTTGCCATCTTAGCAAGCAATACTCTCAATTAATTCAGAGTGTCATTAGCTGCTGGCGGCTTAGTAAGAGATTAACTACAGCAGTCTGAATAAAGGAAAATTCTGAATCATCGGAAACTGCAGGGGAATAAAGTAATACTAGATTAGTGGAAAGTAAGTCCATCAAATGAAGACATGCAAGATAATGTTCTTGGTGGTTGTGACAAAGACATTTGTAGGTTTGGTTTTTTTAATATATGATTGGGTTTTTTAATATATGATATTAAAATATCTTTATTTTACTTTCAGCCAGCTCCTAACCAAGTTACTTTTCATTTGCCATTGCACCGTTACTTTGCCATGTTTTTAAGTAAGGTAAGCACATGTTTTAGTCACACAGAAGATGGAAATTCCCTGTTGAGTGTGATTGTTCAGTACAGCATGTGCTTACTTTTGTTTCTAGGCTGTCAAATGCCAAGAACTAGATCTAGATACTATCTTGCCAGATCAAGAGATGCTGATGAAACTAATGATTCACCCACTTCAGATTCAGGTACGGGCAGACTTCTGACTTTGATGCGGATGTAGAGGTATACAACAAAAAAGAGCTGCTGTCTGTTTCTTTTAACCCCACTCATGTAAATATATTTAGAAGTATTTAACAAGGGGGAGTATGTCTTAATTGTGGAATATCAAAATAAGCAATATGTGACAATAATATTAGACAATAAAACTAGAATATACTGAGTAGTTAGGATAAAGTCTTTTTTTTCTTCCTATTTCCAAAATTAAATATGTGGCATTAGTTATCATATTCTGAGAAGTATGATAGGAATATTCACTATAGCACTTTCAAAAGGGTAGGAGGAACCAGCCCTTTGAAAACATGGAATTGCATGTTCATAGAATAGCTGCCTATGGAGTGCAAGTTGAGAAGAAGCCTGAATCTGAAAATTTCATATTTTAAATTGAGAATGAGTTCAAGAACAGATGTACCCTGCAATGTTGGGTTTTTTTTTTTTTTTACAAATTTGTATTTATTTGTATGTAAGTGGTAGTCAGCAGTATTTGTAATCACTGCTTTTATCTAACTTCGTTTTAACCATGATGCCTTCATCTTTGGAGTACTTTTCAAGATTTTAATAAATAAGTACATAAATAAATCACTTCATTGGCTTTAATCACTTTTGTTGTCTGAAATATGCTCTCATATGAAAGTATGGTATCTGTTTCATAAGCTTGCAGTTCCTTTTCATCCCTCACTCCCCAGGAGAAGTAAATTAGTATAAAAAAGTATACTTTTATATAAAGGTGTAGTGTGTATGTAGGTATATGTGTGATAATATATTGATGATCTGCTAACATTGATCTGAATAGCTGAATATCCCTGAAATGTTTGTAAATTTTTATTTTATTTTATTTTACCTGAACAGGCAAGTCTTTCTGAAATTCACAGCAACATGTGGGTTAGAAATGGTCTACAAATTAAAGGACAGGCCATGACTTATGTGCAGTCTCATTTCTGCAATTCAATGATTGATCCTGACATTTATCTGCTGCAAGTAAGTTACGTTTTCTGAGAAGCCAAGCCAATGCTTGTTTACAAACAAACAAACTACTGAATAAAATGAATTTATTCTCTTTCCACAGGTCTGTGCCTCTAGGCTGGACCCAGATTATTTTATTTCATCTGTTTTTGAAAGGTAGGGTTAAAGATGAATGCTCTTGTTCAGTGTTGTGCTAGCTGTTGACTAATTTATGCCATGTGAGAGGAACGGTGTATATCTGAATACATCTTCAGTGGTACAACTCTGCCCAGCCAAAACTAACACTTAGCTAAGGGCTCTGCTGAAAGAGGTATCTCAAGGCATATCCTTGATTTTATACAGGATTGGCTTTTGATTTACAGTGCAGTAGTGAACCTTCAGACATTTGTTTTCTGAGCATCTTCAGTTTTTTTTAAGTTTTGCACATGTTCATATGCAAGCTTTCAGGATATGCTAGCCTGAAGAAGTAGATAAATAAAGATAAATAGAGCTGCAATAGTAAGAGACACAGAAAGGAGTCTGCTTTTCTGGATAGAATAAAATCAGGGTTTGAAAACAGATTAATTGGCATTAGCTTTTATATGTTCATAAATGTAGAGTGTTTTCATGTGGAGTAAATATCACTACAGCACATTTCATAGGTAGTTAAATAAAAATCCAAATTTAAAAATAAGAGGGTTTTCATGTATGTTTGCGTATTACTGCATTATATGCATTTTATTTTGTATTCATTTTGGGTTGTTGTGAATGGTATCCTGAGTTTATCAGTACATTTCACATTGGTGTTTTAATGTTGGAGAATAATGTTTCTGACTTCACTCTTTGCTATGTAGATTTAAGGTGGTAGATCTGTTAACGATGGCATCACAGCATCAAAATACAGTTCTTGATTCAGAGCATGAAAGGTCCATGTTGGAAGGAGCCTTAACGTTTTTGGTCCTTCTGTTAAGTCTTCGTTTACATTTAGGTAAGAATCACTGCTTTAGGAATACTTGTATGTAAATAATATGCCTGTTCATTTATATTCAACATTTAGTAGCTACCATAAAGCTGATGAGCCATGTAGTAACTTAAAGCATTCAACACTTGATTTCATTTTTGCCAGTTACTGAATTTTAATCCTTTATGAATTAGAAATAGACAAAATACATAGAAACGGAGAAAAATGGCTTTAGTGGAAGTGGCTGATTTGTGTATGTGATCACATTAAGATTCTGTATCTTTTTCAGAAAGACAGCAGTTTTAGTTTGTACCTGTCTTTTCTGACTGAGGTGGTGTCTCATTACATTTGCGCCCCTCCCTTTGTTTTGCTGTATTTTTATAGCACTGTATCATTACTTAATGTTTGTATCAAGTTTAACTTGTGTTTAATGACAAGTGTATGCTGAACGTGTGTTTTAAAATCATGCTATTTTAATGGCTTTTTAAATTTTATTGTTCTAGGAATGACAGATGATGAGATCCTCAGAGCAGAGATGGTAGCTCAACTCTGTATGAATGACAGGACACACAGTTCATTATTGGATCTCATATCCTTGGAATATATTAACTAATGTGCATGAGTGAGAATGACAGGTACCTGGATAGTAGTGGGATTTTGGAGCTTGAACAAAATGTTTTCAGCTTACATAATTGTAACAAATTGTGTAAAGATGTGTTTGCATATACTTATCAGCAAAGGCATTTGCTCCAGCTTTGTTTTTTTTTACAAAATATGCAATACTTTGTAATAGTTTTAAATTACTTTTGATACAAAATGCTTAACTGCTCTTTTTATTATTTTTTAACACTACAAAAGTCTTTTAGGTGTGAGGTGAAAAGTCTGTTTTCCAATAACATTGTAGAAAGTTTAGCCAAGCGTCACCTTTATCTGGATTTGAGCTTTTGATTATTGCCGATTTTATGCCAGTATAAAAAGAAGCCACTCTACGCTGTATTGGCTTTTGCTATCAATAGCTGAAAATGCAAATAATAGCAATTCTGAATGCTGCTTTGAAATTAGAGTGAAATGCATGTGTTATGGAGGGGGAAGGTGTCTTACTTGAAGAACAGCAATCTCTATATCTATAGAAAGACTTCCTATATCTAGGAAGTGTTTCTGCGCAGTGATATGGTTCATGTCTCCAAACAGCTGAATACAAATACACAGGTTTTACTGCTATCAGTGTATTAAGCTGTGTAGGCAAATTAAATAGCTTGTGGTGATTGCCCGAAAGAGCTTGCAATCCAAGGATAGGCATTGAGCAAAAATATTAGGAATTCATAAAGATAGGAAAGGAGGAGACTGAGAGTTACAAATATGTAATAAGAATTAGTAATTATTACAATATGACCTAGTAACTCAATCACTTAAGTATGTAAAATAAGTGAATCCCTTAAAGTGAATCACTTAACTATGTAAAATAAGTGAATCATTTATACAAGCAATCACTTATCATCAAGCAGAAGTTTCTTTATTTGTAATTGTTACTTGTGATTTGGGGTAATGTCAGTAGGTCAATTAAGTATCGCTACCAAAAATGAGAAATAGCCAATCCAAGATGGAGAATTACTTACTGTGTTTGTGGATCCCAAGCTATTTACTTGCTTCTTCCGCACTTAGCTGTAAATGCAAAATATTCTTGCTATGAAGAGAGCCATAGTGTTAGTAAATAAAGGCGAGTACAAAAACTTTATCTACACTACAGATACTAGTTTGTATTTCTCGTTTAATACTTACCTCTTGAGCCAAGCATGTAGCAATTGGCTTTAAAAAGTTTAATGTCCTAGCTAGGAGGCTTTAATTCACTCAGTAATAGTTATTGTTCCATAGCAGCTGGAGCATACAGACCTCTTGTGGTAAACACAGAGCACTGCTGAAGTGTAGCCTCTGAAATGAGTGACTGAAAATGTCAAGAGGGAAGTAAAATGCTGTGTCCTGCAACTAAACTAACTTTGCTTTCCTTAACACAAATGTTACATTCCAGAAAACCCCAATCCCAAAAGTGGTATTATTCCAGGAAGCTTAAGCTTTGAATCAGTCTTGTCAGCGGTTGCTGATTTTAAAGCTCCTGTTTTTGAACCTGGAGGTTCCATGCAACAAGGAATGTATACACCTAAAGGTATGGTAATCGGCATCCTCTTATAACATACTCAGTGGTAAGATGCTTAACCAGAAGGGTTTTTTTCCTTTAAAAAAAAAAACCACCAAAAAACAACCCACCAAACAACAATAAACACACCCCCCCCCCAAAAAAAAAGAAAAACAAACCAAAAAACTCAAAACCACCACCACAAAAAAACCCACAAAACTTGTTTGACTTTTTCATTATTGTTTCTTGCTTATATTTAAGAGCATTGCTAAAGACTGTTAATAGTTTTTAATAGATTCATTTTGATCTAGAATGAAAATGAGCTTCTCGTATTAATCAGGTATCCTAGAAAACATGGGAAAAATGGAGAATGAAAAAATGATGTTATTTGTATTTCACCGGTCTCCATACTTAATCATTCATGTGATTTTAAAAAAATATGATGTATGTTCAGTAGAGTTTAGAACTGTTTGCACTAGTGAGGTGTCAGTTTCAAAGATTTTTTTTTCTTTGAACTTGTCCACATTTTGATTATTAAAGATATCATGATACATAATTCTTTCTTTTATATTGCTTAACTATCTTAGTAGCCTGTAACATTTTTCCCAGTCAATAGTGAGGGTCTAGAACAAAGTTCAGACTAGACTGGTTATAGAATATTGTTCTATAATTCTACAATGCATACAGTGCAAAAATGACAAGTTTCTTCCCCTCACCAGCTTGTCATCTAAACTGGATTCAACATATACCAACAAGTGTTGGTATATCAAAGGAGAAGAAGAATTTAAGAACTCAGTGTTCCATTACTGTTTCCTGTCACTGAGCAGATAAGCCTGTAGGAATCTGAAATGCTCCATGTGCTGTGGTTGTGCTTCAGCTCATGGCAAAGCTGAAGAGGGATTAACTCCTTCCTTCCCTAGGTACCTTGTTTGAGAACTGGCAGGGTTGGGGTCTGACAATTTTGAAACCATTTGGTTTGTAGGCTGTGTTCTTCTGTGGATTTTTTTGTTGTTGTTAATGTAGAAACTAATACTGCCAGTTTTTGTACTGGGAGGTTGACGAGTCAGTGAAGCTCTTACTTAAATACAAATTAACAACCAGTGAAGTAATTTTGTGAAACCAAAGTTTTGGGAATTTATTCATTCTGGTTCCTTGATACGTAATTAGGCAGCTTAACACCTATGTATTTAAAATAACTTTATTTTAATATTCTGTAAACTGCATTTCCCTATGTCATGTCTGGTTTCTGGAGCTTGTGAGATGCTGGTCTTTTTCATAACGCAGGAAGGAAAAAAAAAAAAGGATTATGGTATTTTTAATTATAAGACTGTATATTTAGGGAATCTGATGCTAGATTATAATGTTTGAGGTTTTTTGGTGTTTGGCTTTTTTTTTAGCATAGTTTATCTCTGGAATAGATAGCTTATCTTAAAAAAACTTTAAGTACTATAGCAGTAAATACTGAAGTAATTTGTAACACTATGCAGAATCCCTTTTTCTTAAAGTAATAAAAAACTGAAAGAGCTTCTGCAGGAATTAAAGCCAGCATGGTTTTCTTGTGTACTATAGCCTTTTAAGTGTTTATAATCTTTATAAGACTATATAGGTTCTCAAAAAGAATGGTGATATTCCAGTTGCTTTTAAGAATTGTAGTTTGTGGCCTGTCACAGTTTAAGCAAGTCCTGTTGAGATCCATTCCCCTTAATCCATTGTTTCCCTAAATTTAGAGGGAGAAAAAACCATCTACTTTATGATCACAGAAGCGCCAGATTTTGCTTCCATTAACCATCGGTTAAAAAAAATCAAACCAACTTCCAAAAAAAGGACATAGTTCTTCCTGTTCTCAATGGATTTGTATGCTGAAGATGAGCTCTGCGTGCATTTCAAATATTCCCCATTTGGCTCCCTCACTTAGTGCTTTTTCCTCATTGTGCATTAGCAGCCCAAACAAACTTGGTCTGTGTTTCAGACTGCAATAGTAAACTCTATCCAGAAAAAATGGATTTTTTGCAAGCTAAGTTTGATCATCTTTCATGCATAGTAGAAACTATACTAAGTGTTCACTCTCAGCAGTGTATGAGGGTATCTGTAGAACCGTTAACATTAGCAGGGGTTAATAGGAGTATAGACCACTTGTCTTCCCGCCTGGGGGAAATTAATCTCAAAAGCATGATAAAGCTGCCTACTTTTGCCTGTGAAAACTTTAAAGAATGTTGTAAGCACTGTGTTGTGTTATGCCTGCTGGTGGAGCTAAAATTCTGTATTGGTTGGTTTTCTTTTTCCTTTGATGGGATCATTGAATCTTGCCTTGAATATTGCTGTGTTACAGGAGCTAAACACTTCCAAACAATTAATAGAATGAACAGCTTCATTTGGCTTTAGGTTGGAAACTTAGTTTTGTTTTTTAATAACTTGTAAATAGAAAAAAAAGTAGCATTTAAATGGGATATCTTTATTTATAGTCTGTTTAAACTTTTCTGTTTGTGATTGCTCGGAAAAGCCACTCTGGATGTTACTTTAGAGCTACTACATTAAACAGAGATAACTAAGATTTTAATACCAAAATAACGTATAGATATTAGTTATAAAACAAAGGCATGTCTGTAAAGGATTGATGACAGATGTTATTTCATGAGAAACGGCCATTTTTGAGACTGAACAAAAAATTGTGTTGTTGTAGTCATTTGGCTCACTACACTTAATAGTTAAATATCACCTACCTGCTAACTGCTCTGCAGTCTTTACTTCCTATTTTCAAGAGGGTTTGTGCTTATCAAGTACCAAGTGAAAAATAATTAAAACCTTTTCGTATCTGTACTTGGAAATTAAAAAGAGCAAAACAAGATGCATATGGAAAAGGTGTTTTTGGGGCTGCTTTCGTATACTTACAATTGGATAAATACATTTACTTAGATTTTAAAATTTAAATTTAAATTTTAAATTTTTAAAAAAACGTTCCTCAGTATGTGTTTCAACTGTTATTTTATCAGAAATACGTGATTTTTCTTTTTTATCCCACATTGTAAATTATTACATAACAGAAAAGAAAGCTAGACAATACTAAAATAAAGCTTGGTAATAGAAAAGATCTATTGCCTTAATAGATTGCTAATTTTTTGTTTTGGAACTAAGAAAAATATTTTTGGTGAAATTTTGATATCTTGGTAAATAGTAGTAATTATTAGTATAGTAAGTATTATTAGTAAGAATTAGTAAAAATCATTGCAACTTTGATGCAAAAAAATTATTATATAATAGAAAATTATGTAATTAAAGCTAGTTAGAAGAGAATCTAGAATAAGTTGTAAGGTCTGTAAAGAGAATTTTAACATGTGACTTCTTTTAAAAAACAGCTGAAGTTTGGGATAAGGAATTTGACCCTGTCATGGTAATACTTCGAACGGTTTACCGTAGAGATGTGCAGTCTGCAATGGACAGATACACAGCATTGTAAGTTGGATCATTTTTAGAAATGTAACATCATATTGTTGCTCATTGCACAAAAAATTTTTTGTTTTCACTGTCTGGTAATGCTAATCATGTTATCGATGTTTTCAGGCCCCAGATTTGTCCTTGAGTAAATCGTTTATAAATACAGGCAGTATCAGGGTTTTGGTTAGCTTAGTCTTTTTTTTACTCTTCCATAAAAGTTTAAAAATACATCTGAAGTACTACAAAGTAGTGAATGTCATCACAGATAAAATACTTAACCAAAAGTTAATGTTTAAAAATCAGTTACAAATCACTTTGAAAGAAAGCAGCATTATCTATTTTCAGTTATTTCACATTTAGAATCATAGAATCATAGAATCATTAAGGTTGGAGAAGACCTCTAAGACCTCTAAGATAATGAAGTCCAACCGTCAACCCAACCCAACACCACCATGCCCACTAAACCATGTCCCTAAGCACCTCATCTACACGTCTTTTAAATACTTCCAGGGATGGTGACTCCACCACTTCCCTGGGCAGCCTGTCCCAAGACCTGACCACTCTTTCAGTAAAGAAATTTTTCCTAATGTCCAAGCTAAACCTCCCTTGGCGCAACTTGAGGCCATTTCCTCTCGTCCTCTCGCTTGTTACTTGGGAGAAGAGACCAACCCCCGCCTCACTACAACCTCCTTTCAGGTAGTTGTAGAGCACGATGAGGTCTCCCCTCAGCCTCCTCTTCTCCAGGCTAAACAGCCCCAGTTCCCTCAGCTGCTCCTCATAAGGCTTGTTCTCCAGACCCTTCACCTTTAGGTACATGAAGTACAGCATTACAGTGTTCTGTGTTTTGAAATTATATTGAAGACATGGGTTTTTTCTATGTACTCACCCATGACAGAAACCATGGGTGAATTAAATTCTGATTTAAATACAGAAAAAAACACTTGTGGCACCCTTTTAAGGTCTAAGAAGCAAGATGATTTGGTCTTAATTCTGTTCCTTAACTTTCCATCCCTTACAGCTACTTACCCTTACAGATCTTGGCTCTTATTTCAGCTAATGTAATTTGGTTCTCTTCTATTTCACACCTTGGGAGTTAAGATCAAGTTTAAAAAACCCTTAGAATAAACTTAGTGAAATAATCCTCTGCCCCTGTGCTCATACTGTTAAATCAAAGGGTCATCATAAATGTGTACTGTAAGTGATTTTGAGCAAGGTAGTATTCCGTTAAATAATTGCATTGTCTACTGCACTGGATTCCAGCATGTTATTAGAAATGTGGGTCCACGTTAAAATTAACGCTTCATTTTTAAGTTCATAGATACGATAGCGCTGGTACTGTCAACTATAGCTAATTATGTCTAGCGTTTCCTGGTGTTGCCTGTAATCCATTCCTACAAGTGTGAGATTTCTATGTTGGATGTCTGACTAACATGGTGAAAAGTTTTCCATCTCTTCTATGTGCCTCTTAGAATGAAAATGGAATTCTTAAATTCAAAGCTTAAATTCATAGCAGTAATTAAAAATTCATTTAATTTTATAAATAAAGGTCATTTAAATCAGTGGTAATGGATAGAAAAATAAGACTGGATTCAATTTGTGAATACATTCCAATATTTGGAATGCTGCTTAAATAAATTAAATGGCTTAGAAATGCTCATCAATTCTAAAGTCGGTCTAAACAAAAAGAATGCAGCATAGTTATCTATAACAGTGGCAGTTGTCTACATTATTGCAGTGTTTAACCTAAGTCTCATTTGTTTCAACAGTTTAAAGCAAAGTGGTAAATTCCCTGGGAACCCATGGCCTCCCTACAAGAAAAGAACACCACTACATCCAAGTTACAAAGGTCTCGTAAAGCTTTTACACTGTAAAACCCTGCACATTGTGCTGTTCACGCTTCTTTACAAGGTACAGTCATAATTCTCATTAAGTCCAGTATTTTACTTCCTCTTTTTCAGAACAGGAGTTCTTAGAATTATGATTTTTTTTTTAATAGATTATTTACAGTAGTCAGGTTCAAATTTATATAACATTTTAATTTTTGTTTTCATAAGTCTAGTATGATGATGTTTTTCTACCATTTTCATTATTTCATGAATGATTATTTCATATATACATATACTAAGTCAGGTATCCAAGTGGATGAGCCATCCTACTCTGAGGAACACTATCTTAACCATCAGAGTTGCCATTTGAATTGTTGTTCCGTGATGGTTTCGGGGAGCATGGTGGTGTGAGTGATGTTCCTTTGGCTCCCACTGCAGAGTTTTAAGGCATCAGCAGCCTTTTCAAATACATGTAACCTTGATGGCTTTAGATCCTAAATGGCAAATACATCTCATAGCTGCAGTTGGTTCGAACATCACTTTCCAGATATGTTCTGGCTTTTCATAATGTTATAGTACTTTTTTTTCAGGACTAATTGATACCTTTAAATTGTGTTTGGTTTTGTCTTTGATAGTTGGCTGCCCTCTTTAAGAGAAGTGCATCCTTTTTGAAGAGTACATTAATCAGAAAATGGGACTTTGAATCTGTCTTTGTACTTGGAAAGTGCTTTCAAAGCAGTGTGCCGCAGAGGCAGATGAGGGACTATAAAAAAAGGGGTTTGACTGAGGCACAGTAGTGCTTTTCCTGGGCAGACTTTCCTTTTGTGCTCTTTTAAGTGCTCCCAGCTCCCCTAAAGCTCTTGTTTTGTTTCACTGTTAAACTTCTGTTGAGTAGAAAATACCTGCTGTTAATTATAGCAATAACTGTGTGGTATTCACAAAGAGCCATGCTTGTTCAGCTGATTTCTTTCTCTAATGAAGTATCATGTAAGTTGTCAGTATATCATTAAGATGAATGAAGACCTTAAGATTTTACCTGAATTCATTCAATAGATTTCACCTTTATGACAGAAAAGGACTTTTTCTAAAAAGCTTCATATTGCTTACAAATTAATGACTTCAGTAAAATATAGGTTTTGCTATGTAATTAGTGCAATTTCAAAAATCTACTTTAAAAATACAAAATATAAAAATTTGACTGTTTTGCTACTAATTTGTCCTTACCCAGAATGAGACGTTATGGTGAAGACTGAATTTCATGTGCAGAGACTATACCTTTTGGAAGCTCAGTAGTACAACATCTAATGGTTGGTCAAGGTTTTCCATTGTCGGACATCTAGTTCCTTATCTTGCTGAAATGTAACCATTTTTCATGCTGAATGCCTGTTCTGGCATGAGTTTCCAAGAACGAAGCAAGTACAAAATATATCGCCTTTTCCCATGTTTTAAACATTCTTTTATCAAGATTCTGGATCTGAATTTGGCCAAACTGTAGGCATTGCAAAGTTACATTGTGTGCATGTTCAGTGGTTGCTTATTTTGTTGTTAACTGCTGAAGTCCCAAGAAAGTCAGCCCCACACCAGGCATGCCCCACACCAGAGCTAACTAGAACTTTGCCTGGAGTGGCAGTACCTTGTTTCCCAGGGATTTCCATAATTTTGGCCAGAGAAGCAGCTGTGTGCAGTATGTTTAACCCTGCTTAGCCCCGTCCCACTGCAGGGGCTGGGCTGCCTGATTACTGCAGGGTCAAGAACGAGGCTGAGATGTGGTAGTACGTAGCAGACACTGGGGAAGAAGCATGCCTGGAGAAAGTTCTAGACAGGAGACTTACAGGAAGGCTGCTGAAGAAAAGAAGAGCTTGGCATTATATGGAAGATGAAGTAGTATTTTGACATGAAACAAAAATGGAGAACGTAGGGAAGGAATGCATCATCTTTTACTGTCTTGCTCGTAATTTTTTTTTGCCATTTTTTCTCTTATTCCGTTAAGAAGCTTCAAGGACTTCCATCTTGAGAACCGTAAAATTTCTGGGTTGCTGTTTTAGCTGGAATGCAGAATAAGTTTCTACCAGATTTATGGAGGGTAGAAATTACGTAGTGATTGATTCCATGGATTGCGTTGAATGATATTTTGTCTATTTGTGAAATTTTGCCAATTTATGACAGCCTTTATATATCTTGACTTTTGTGACTGGTTACAGAAGAATAGTAAACTACAACTGATTATTTGACTTTTCAGAAGTGTTAGTCAACATGACATTTGATTCTGACTGGTACAACTGCACATGGTTTTCATATTAATGTAATACTGAGTGCCTTTTTTCATTAAATAATCTCTAATCTCAGATTTGATTGGGTTTGATCTAATCAGCTGCTCGAACATAATTTAGAAATGCTATTGTAAAACAGTATTTGTTTTAAGAACTTTATTTCTCTCATGTTTCTAATGGATGTATCTACTTATGAGATTTGGTCCCTTTAAAACCAAGTTCTATTTAAAACTTTACTAGGCTACACTCTAAAAATATTAATTTCTATAGTAGCTTGTCTACAATGAAATGCTAAACATCTTTTTTCATCCAATTCTTTGGTAACTTGCAGGTTCTTGCCATTTTCTTCCCTTTAAATCAGAATATTATCAAGAGGAAAGTTGTCCTGGTTTTTAATGTCAGCAGCACTGGTTCTTCCTCCGAATGCATTGAAAGCTGTGTTAGAAGAAAGATATGGGCATTTGTTAATTTAAAGACAAGGTTATTTATTATTTGTAATTTAAAAAGATTATGTGAAGATGGTTGTGAACTAAATTCATGTTAACCCTTCTGGCGTTCCCAGTTATTCAGGCATCGCTTATAGGACTAGGACCTCATGAGGCCTTTTGGTGACTGATCACGTGAAAAAGGGAGGGAAGGCTAAATGCAGCTCTCTGCTTGTAGCTGACAGTAGTGGTATCTGTACAGCTTTACCTGGCACTTCAGTGTTAAAGCAAATCACAGCTTGAACTGGTAACAATTTTAAGGTACAAGTTTGTTTGACTGGAAAGAGATGTAAAATTAAATTTTGCTTTTGTGGTGATGCCCAAAGGTTAGTTTTTTCTAAACCTCAAAATAATTTTTAATCATCTTTAAAAAATTAAATAAAAACTGAAGAGTCCAAAGTGTATTATCTAGAACACTCTTTTTGTATGTTTAGATATACTGAATTCTTAATAGGCTGAGTGGAATAATGATTTCCTGTCTTTTAAATACAACGCTCCTGTTGATCCATCACATCCAAAATTACATGTCTTATTTTGTAGTAGTGTTCCATTACTATTATTGGAGAGGTATATTAATGTTATTACTCTTACTATTCTTGGCCTACTTGGAACTTTTTTTTAATCCTATAGCATAATCACTAATCGGATATTTTGTTGGAGCATTCAGTCATAAACAAGAGTGAAGTTTAAAATATCTTGGTGATGTTTCAGAGTAGATATTCCAGGAACTTGAAGAGGCAATTCACTGCTCTTGAAAATAATTTGTTGCTAACTGTATTTTTATGCATATGATAGGACTTTGAAAGTGCAACAAAAAGAAACCTATTTTAAATGCTAAAATTGGTACTCGGTGTTTACCAAAAAAATACTAGGGTAGCAAGTGTTGTTATGGTGTTCTGCTTGTCTAGTCTTTTCTTTTTAACTGATACTCATATCTCATAATACAGCTCTTGCGAGCACAGTGATTAATTAAGGGGAAAAAAAAAAACAACACTCAAAAAACAGAAAAAAACACCCCCCCAAAAAAAAAACCAACTACCACAAAAAAAAGCCAAAACAAACAAAAAACAGGCCAAAATCACGTGTGTGGCTCAGGACCTTCTACCTTTCCTAGTGTGGCAAACCTGGAAGGTCATGCTTGGAGATAAAATTTGTAGGTAGTATTTTGAGCTTCTTCATACGAGATTCCTGGCTACTTTCTTTACCTTCCAGTTTAGGCTAGAGATGTCCATCAGGTTTTTGGCAGTTTTTGGTTTTTTTTGTAATAGGAATTGTGAGAGTATCAAAGATAAAGCCTTCTAAGATGTGAATGTCTTGGTTTTCTGCCTAGATATTAATGGATCATCAGAATTTATCAGAGCACGTGCTTTGCATGGTTTTGTATTTGATTGAGCTGGGGTTGGAAAATTCTCCAGAACAAGAGTCAGATGAAGAGGTAAGAATACCATCTTTTTCATTAAAATATAAAAGTATTGTCTAATGATTCAATACTCTTTAAAAATAGATGTTTATTTAAATTATTATTTTACCATAGGAATTAGAATAAAACATCTTTATTTATTTACTTAAGCAGGGATCAACTAAGCAAACAAAAATAAGAAAATTGCATACTGTTGTGAAAGAGGAGTATGGTATCTTGTTATGTTTTTCAGCAGTTTCTGTATATATAACCTGACAACACAAATTGGTTAGATCTTTACTAATCTGTAAATTAGTACTTGAAATTGGATGCAAAAAAAATTTAAAGTGATTGAATCTAAAACTTACTTAAGTTTCTAGATTTTTAACTGAAACCTTTATCTCTGAGCATTTTATTGCTAAAGCTCTGTATCTTCTAAAATATGTGAACTAGCCAAAATTTTAACTGTGCTTTTGATGAGAATTTGAATATAAAGAGCTGTTGTTTTCGTGATTCCAGATTCCTTTATGGTATATGACTTCCATAATTTTTCCTACTGTTTACCATTGCTTATGTGACTAAGGATCTGCCACTTTTTTTTCAGAGATTGACTTCTGTATAGTTTGGGGGTTTTGTATTAATCTTAGATCGTACAGCTTTGGATTAACTTGAGTAGTTCCTTTTACTTCTGCTAGATAGCACTGGTGGCATGTATTTGATTACATTCAAATCAAATGTGTAGATTTATGTATTTATCAGACCTGTAGTACTCATGGTAGGCATCAGTCATATCGTAATTTTTAAGAGGTATATCAGCTTTAGTGAGGTACATACTGTTCAACATATTGTTCCTGTCTAATGAAGAGATGATGGCCTCTGAAATATAAAGCAACATGAATTATTGTAACAAATAAGAGAGAGTATACTAATTTTTTTTCATTATTTTAGGAATCTGCAGGTGGACAAGAGCGTTGCCATGATAGTTGGTTTCCAGGTAGTAACTTGGTTTCTAACATGCGTCACTTCATTAACTATGTCCGAGTAAGAGTACCAGAAACTGCTCCAGAGGTAAAAAGGGAACCACCTGCAAGTACAAGTTCTGATGGTTTAGCTTCATCACAAGTAAGTATATACAAATACCAGTCCTTTTCCTGGATTAGTTTAAGTTATTGCCTGTTAAGGCTTTTTTTTGGTTAGGATTATTTTGCTAGTGTTTTAATGAATTTCTTAGTATTTTTTTTTTCCTCCAGTAATCTTTCCTAAGTGTACTGATAACAGATATAGAATTTATTTCAAATGATACCTCCTTCCAAATGATGTATGTAATGACTTTTTTTGTCCTCAATCTACCAGAGTTCAAGGCGGAAGAGCCTCCAGAGAGAGGTAGATCTGTGTGCAGTTTGTTCTCCTAAGCGATTAACTAGCAACGTGGCTTTAATTGTGCTCACCTTAACATCCAGTGAAATCTTCTAATTTTCCTGAGTTTCCTTTTAATTCATATTGCAAGGACTCATGCTTTTTTCATATTCTTGATTGTAATCTTAGGTAGTAGACTTTTAAGCAAAGAAATGCCCTTACATTTTTAATACATGTTTTGAAATAAAAGCTTTCTATCAAATATAAAATGTCATTGATAGTTTACTGCTTGAGCTTTGTGTTTAGGCCTGTTTTGTCTTGCCAAAATATTACTAACATTTAATAATGTAGAGTAGTCTTAGCTTTCTCGAATCTAGGTAAGTTTAACCTTACATTGAAAGTGTATTTGAAATTATTAATGGCAAGTTTATTTGGGTTTTTTGTGAAAACAAAATGAACATGTAAATGGTGGGATCCTGAAAGATTTGTAGCTGGTAGATAATACAATCTCTATGTCAGGATTGCTTTTGTATCTTTTGTATACAGCACTTCAGATTACTTCATGCCAGATGTAGTGAAATACAATGGATATTTCTTTTGCATGTTAATGTTAGAAAAATAGATCAAAATTTAAAGTAGGTAGGTGAGATGAAATAGATTAGAACATAAAGAAGGTAGGTGAGATCATTTTCAGAATCCCGTTTTTATATTTGATCTCTGAAGTATTTGGTATCTCTTGGTCTGCCCAGCCTTCTGAGAAGGAGAGGGTAAGATGTTAAAGTGTTCTGAATTTCAAGTTCAAAATATTCAGGAAACATCTCTCTGCTATGGATTCAGTATATGCAAGTTGCTTCCATGTATCCTTAATTTGGGACTGAAAGCAAGGGTAGCATAGAATAGAAACATCTGAATGGGCTCTGTCATTAATGTAACTGCACTCATATGTTCATGTCTCCTGAATAGGAAGCTTTGCTTGCAAATATGGGTGTGTGGCTTCTGGATCTCAGCTAATAAATCCACCCAAAATGGACAATGCCCATGGGGATGTGTGGGCTCACCTGACTTCACCTGTGTGGGATTATGAGTTACATTGTGCAGCAGTGCTCAGTAGACTATATTAAAGACATTTAAATGACATAAAGATACTGAAGTTACAAATATTCCAGAAAAAGTAAAGACATATTACTTGGAGAACAGAACTCTAAGTTTGACTAGAGCAAAGCGAGTTGCTAGTTATTTTGGTATGGATGATATTTTCATTTTGTACTTGGCTTTTTATGCAGCTGTATATAACAGATTTGTGTAAAAATATGACATGTAGGGTTAGTATTTTGCTATACCAAATTTCAATACGTTTGGAAGGGGAGAGGAAGCGTAAAATGTTTTGTGCTTTTCGTCCTAGTTTAAAATATTTTCTATAGTTTTATAAATGTATGTTGTTTATACTTGTGTTTTTGAAAATTAAATGTTGTAATTTTTTTCCCAAGAACTCGGGGACAGCTCAAGTGTTCAGTTTGGTCGCAGAACGTAGAAAGAAATTTCAGGAGATCATCAATCGGAACACCAGTGAGGCAAATCAGGTGGTTCGGCCCAAAACATCAATGAAATGGTCAGCACCTGGTGCAACTCCACAGCTAACCACAGCCATACTAGAAGTCAAGGAAAGCATACTGTCATTGCTGATTAAATTGCATCACAAACTCTCAGGAAAACAAAACTCTTACTATCCTCCATGGTTGGATGATGTGGATGTTTTAATCCACCCAGAAATTCCGAGATATTCTCACGGTGATGGAATGACGGCAGTAGAAAGAATTTTATTGAAAGCTGCTGTACAGAGCAGATTGAATAAACGTATAATTGAAGAGATATGCAGAAAGGTGACACCTCCTGTACCACCAAAAAAGATTAGTTCTGCAGAGAAGAAAACTTTGGATAAAGAAGAAAGGTAACATTAAAAACAAAGTAAAGGGGTGATAGAGGGGGAGTGTGTGTTGTGCATCTATTGACTGATCTGTCTTTAGGTCTTTGCGTGAATTAGTTATTAAAAGAGTAAGTCTTAATTCTACAGTTCTCTTTATCCATTTTGTATATACATGATTTACATGGGTACTGAGGAAGAACCTGCATCTTGCTGATTTAGATCTTTAAATTAGAAAACTTTCATAATGATTTTATGTGACACAGGCACTCAACCTTCATGTTGCCATGTATGCCACTTATATATACAAAGGTGCAGAATTAAGATTATGTTAACTTTTGAGGCTTAACTGTGCAACCTCAAGATGAGGTAGAAAATTTTTTTTATTTGTATTGTCTGTTCATTCACATGCACACATCACAGCATCATTATTTTTGTTTGTTTGTTTACTATATATGGGTTTAGTAATGCTGCCTTTTTTGCTTGTCTGACACATTGAGTTTTAAAATTATGTTTTTAACTTTTGTACAGTTTTTAATTTTTTTAAAAATCATATTCATATTTTCTTATAATGTGGCCTGAAAACCTGCATGCCAGGTGCCTGTCTTGGGCTGAATGTTTTGGGGAAAAAGCTCAGACAGTTTTGAGATTGAGGTTGTGGCATAATGAGTCCTGAGAGCACCCAGAGTACCAGCACTACTGAAACTGAATGCAGAGAGCCTGCTTCTCTTCTGCTTTCAGCAACTGCTGTGTTGGCATGCGAGTCCTATGGAAGAGGAATCATCCAGTTCAAATGCCTAGAGGACAGCAACTAGAGCTGAGAAGTAGAGGTGAAAACTAGGACTGGCAGTGGCAAAGAGTTGAAGACTGGGACTGGAAGGTGAAACCTTCTGGTCGATGCAATAATGAGCAAAGGGAAGAATCCAGGTCAAGTGAATAGCTGATGTGGGAAGACTCAAGCTGGCAAGTTGGAGGTGTTAGGGAAGAACTGGGTTGTCAGGACAGAAATACTCAGAGCAAATAAAAGAACCAATTTTTAGTGAAAAACTCAGTGGGGGAGAATGGGGTCTTGAGAGCTGATAGGAGAAGAAGAATGTGGAATAGGAATGCAAATGCCTGGAGAGCATGAGTAAGACAGAGATTGGCATTTGGGAGATGTAATAGAGCCAGCCAGAAAGATGAGTTGGCTGGAGTGGGGCAGTGGGAAGAGATTGGGAACTGGTAAGTGCAAAAGACTGAAACGTGGCATTTGAAGCGAGGGGACGGTGGATAGGGTTAGAAGGTTGGGAGGTAGAGATTAGGGTGGTCAGGTCAGAGAATTTACCACGTTCACTGAAGTAGAGACAGGGCACAGGCTGGAATGGACAAGAATACTCTTGAGTGCTTGTCCGTGCAGTGTTTTGATGTATTAATGGTTTATGTAACCAGACTATATGATTATGGTTCTAGAAATTTGGGTCGAAACACATAGCTATCTGACTCAGTTGGTTTCTGGATTACCTTTATTTATCCTGCTATTTTTATTTGTTTGAAAATAAATTTTTCACTAAATTCTCTCTGATATGTCCAAGACCTACACTGTACTTGAAAATTAAACATAAAAAATTAAAAATAGATTTTATATTTTTTTATAAATTACATCCTTTACAAAGTAAAATTAGTTTTTTCTTACAAGTGGTCAGTTAATAGTTTAATTTTCAACATCCCTTGTAATAGTTCAGTAAATGAGAGAAACAGTCAAGGGTTAGCATATAAAATTATCTTTCAGAAAAATGCCAAACTGAATGGCTACTTTAGGTAAAACACAGCTACATCTTGGACACCTACTTGTTATTGTGGTACTCAGTAGTGCTAGATTTATGTACAGGAAAAGCATGGGAATCAATAAATCAAGTAACTTTTCATACAGAAAAGGGTAAGGTCATTCCTTTGCCCCTATAAAGGATGTGATATTTTCAAGGATCTATTGTGGGCACTTTAAGTTTTCAGTTAAGTTCTGGGGCTAACGTAATGATGAAAATAAATGTTTCCAATTCCTTGTTGTTCTGAGTGACTATTTTCTTCTCCTCAAATCCATAATGGCATTGGGGACCCAGGAAGTTTATTAATGAACAGTGTGATAACTGAAATGACTAATCTCATAGCCTGAAGAGCGCTCATATAGTCAGGCTGCAATTTTTACTTTATTTTTTGATTGTTTTGTTTTGTTTTTCTTTTTCCCCCAAGTCCAGTTTTGTATTAGTGAAGATCAAGCAGACTGTGAGTGTTCAGTGATCACCCTTTTTGGTTACTTCAACATATAACGACAAACTTGGCATCACTCAGGCGGTGGGTTGTCACCATAGAAACCGAAATACAGGGCTAGAAGAGAGCTTGAGCTGCTTGCAGTATTTTTTCGATTGCAGTGTCATACTCCCGTGGGCCATCATGGAAAATTACTGAGCTGTACTGAATCTGTCAGAGTTTGTTTATGTCTTCTTATTAAAGGCCTCTGTTTACTGTCACTCTGCTTTTAGTCACAGCGTATTTTGAGAAATTCCCAGAGAGAAATAAATAAAAACAGGTTTAATGAATGCCCTGGTATGATCCTCAGAATAATGAATCTTAGGATTGTTGTAAATAGAAGTTATTTTGAGAAATGGTGCCTGTGCAATGTGACAGATAAATGGGCAGAGACATTTGGGGTTTTAAGGTGCCTTTAAGAAAACGAGTTAGAAGCTTTGACTTATAAACAGGCCATCTTGGGATAACAGGTTGCAGTATATTAGTTGCTTTGAGCCTGTGCATGTCTCTTCCTGTGCCAGGACAGTGATAATCAAACAGTGCTGGAGACTAAAGAGCAACTCGTCAGCATATCAGATGCCAAGTGATGTTTTTAAATCCCTTGTTAGTTATCTGAATCATCTCTGAGCAGGGGAAAAAAATTCATTGTAAATGCTGATGCATAGAGTTTGTAGAATCATAGAATCATTAAGGTTGGAAAAGACCTCTAAGATCATCAAGTCCAACCGTCAACCCAACACCACCATGCCCACTAAACCATGTCCCTAAGCGCCTCATCTACACGTCTTTTAAATACTTCCAGGGATGGTGACTCCACCACTTCCCTGGGCAGCCTGTTCCAAGGCCTGACCACTCTTTCAGTAAAGAAGTTTTTCCTAATGTCCAATCTAAACCTCCCTTGGCGCAACTTGAGGCCATTTCCTCTCGTCCTGTCGCTAGTTACTTGGGAGAAGAGACCAACCCCCACCTCGCTACAGCCTCCTTTCAGGTAGTTGTAGAGCGCGATGAGGTCTCCCCTCAGCCTCCTCTTCTCCAGGCTAAACAGCCCCAGTTCCCTCAGCTGCTCCTCATAACACTTGTTCTCCAGACCCTTTACCAGCTTTGTTGCCCTTCTCTGGACACGCTCCAGCACCTCAATGTCCTTCTTGGAGTGAGGGGCCCAAAACTGAACACAGTATTCGAGGTGCGGCCTCACCAGTGCCGAGTACAGGGGCACGATCACCTCCCTCCTCCTGCTGGCCACACTATTTCTGATACAGGCCAGGATGCCATTGGCCTTCTTGGCCACCTGGGCACACTGCCAGCTCATGTTCAGCCGGCTGTCAACCAGCACCCCCATGTCCTTTTCCGACAGGCAGCTTTCCAGCCACTCTTCCCCAAGCCTGTGTACCTTGTAGCTCTCATAGAGCTTCCCTAGCTGCACTGGGGAGGTGCTGCATAAAGTCCTCCTCCATGGGGCACGTAGGTCTTTGCATGTGCAGCTGTGGTATGAGTTTTGTTTGGTTTTCCCACTTGAACTCTCCCATTTCCTCTATTTGTAAACTTTTGTGAAAGTAAAGATCCTTTCTTGGTACCTCAGGAAGAAGAAAATCAATGTCTGTTTTCTTTATCTTTTTACATCCATCAATATTCCTCTACCCACTGCAGTATGTATATATAGGGTAGTTACAGAATAGCTGGTAATACAGCCTTGTGCAGATCACTAATACAGTTTAAATAGAAGGATAGACAAGAATGGGTCTCTAATGTCTTCCATTTTTAAATCCAGAGCTGTGTTAAACGATGAGGAAAAAGTTAGTGAAGTCAGCTTGGCTCCAGGGAGGTAAGGGCCTTCAGTCTGGAAGCAATCTCAAACTTCTTTAAGTTCAGGTATAAAAGCTGTTAGTAACCAGTGTCTAGGGTGGAGGTTGGGGAGAAGGAACCAGTATGAGGAGCCTTAGCTGGAAAATAAATCATTCATAATTGTTTCCCTTGGAATCAAGCTTGATACCAAAAGTGAGTGAGGTAGGCTATTATTATTATTAACAACTTGTAAACGTTAGTTGCTTACAAGAGTACCTGTTTTTGTACAACAGCTGACATTTCACTCTGTTATTCTTCCCTTATGTAACAGAAAAAATAACTTTCAAGAGGAAGGTCTTAGGTTCTTTTTCTTATGATGCCATGTCCTAATCTGTTAAAGGATCCTTTGGTTTTCTGAAGGGTTTTTTTGGGACAGGATTTTTTTCCTTTCTTTCAGACTCAAAGGAAAATAACTCTTATTTCTTAAAAAACTCTACTTTTAAAGCAAGAGATTCCTTTTTTTAGGCTTGAAAATTAATTCTTTTTTTAGAGAGAACTTGAATTTTGAATGATACTGTTGAAGGTGGTGACTAATCAGCCTACCACTATAAACTAATTTTTTTCCTCCATTATATATACTATTCCCCCCACCCACCCCCTTCCCCCTCTTCTTTCACTCAGACGACAGAAGGCCAGAGAAAGGCAACAGAAATTGTTGGCTGAATTTGCCTCAAGGCAGAAAAGCTTCATGGAAACTGCCATGGATGTTGGTAAGTTTTTGTGTGGTTCACTGCTTGCTTTTTTTTGTTGTTGTTTTTTTGTTGTTGTTTTCTTTTGGGTTTTGTTTATTTCCATGTTAGTATTAAGGAAGCACTTACCTCTTAATATAAAATGTCCCAAAGTTAGTTTGTCTTTTAAAGATTGCATTTTCTTTATTCTGTAATAATAAAATTTAAGATTATTTCTTCATAGAACCTCAAATTTTGATAAGGTAAAAGTTTTGCATTTTAAATTTATGTACAGAATTAAGGAAAGCATAATTTTTAGATCATCGCAGTTGCTATAAGTGATAACATTGTATTCTATTTCAAGTACAGGCTTTACAGCAGAATCAGCTCTTGTTTTTCTTGAGGAAAAGTTCCTTCAGGTTCTGCTGTGTAGAAGCACATAATCTTGCTTGTGTTTAACTGAGGAATGGAAAATATTTTCATCATCTGAATTACTTCATTGATAATTAGCACTTTGGAAAGACAAGAAAAAGCAGGAATCTCTTCTTTTTTTTCCCCTCTTTCAACCACATATCATCTGCCATGGAGTTTTGATTTGAGTTTAAACACTGGTTAGAAATATTTTACAACTGCTTTTGCTGAAAAAGTCTGTTTTTTGAAATTGTTAAATTCCCTTCAGTTCATAGGTTGCTGAGAAGATTTATTCCTGCATACTTATGGAGGTCTTGGATACAGCAAGCATTGAAATTTCTTTAGCAAATTAATGACTATATATATGGTATTATGTTTGGAGAGTGTGCAATACAACACAAATTTCACAGATAAAAATGAGTTTAAGTCATGCTTATTAAATGGATAGCTATTTCTTTTTAATCTATTTGTTGAAGTAAGGAAGAAGGGAAGAAGAAACACAGTTCTACTTACTAAAATTTAAGTCTTTTTACAGTCAAGGCTAATTGAAAGTGACTGGGAAACTTTGATTCTGCAGCCACCTATATTTTGAATTCTTGATATTGCAACTTTAAAGTTGATGTTTTTATCTATGAAATCACATGTATCTATATGTATTTACCTGTCATAGCTGTATTTGCATATATACATATGTATGCATAAATACTCCCATGCTTGAGTTTTATAAGCTATGTTTAAGGTAACTGCTTTGATTTGTGGATGAAGCATACTAGTTAAATCAATAAAGTACACAGCATTTATTTGTGTGGAGGAGTGGGAACACTTGGCTTTTACTTAACTACGTATATCAACTATTAAAAAGAACCCTTAATTTCTCTAACAGGCAGACCTGGGCCTTTGTGCTTATGATTGTGCATTAAAAAGTTCTTGGGCATGCAACACTTAATTTTTTTTTTTTCTTAGTATTTAAACAATGAATAACTTCAGATATCTCAACATAAAATGTAATGTTTGTTGTCAGTTATACCAGGTCATGCATAGCAGTAGATAGAATCAACGTAATGGACTACATTTTCATAAAGTTGTTTTGCATAAAGACATTTCTTGGCAACAACTTAATAGAATTCCAGGCATTGTGTTAGCTGAATAATTGCTTTGCTTTTTCACTAACTTTTTTCAGTGTCTTCTGGGTTGCCATACTATTTTCCGAGTTTCTGATGAAAAGTCCAGTATTAACTAGCTTTTATGTTCTGACTGGCATTAAAATAGCTTACAGAAAGGAAGTACATATTCCAATATAGTGTGTAGGTTTTATTTAAAAACCTAGATTAATTGTTTGCCAGGAATATTTTCTTCAGTTTGCTCTAATTTTTTTTTAAATGAAGTAGTTTGTTCAGCTGTGAATACAGTCTCTATATATTACAGAAATTATTGAAAAAGTTGCAGAAACTATTGTTACTCTAATTTTAAAACACGACATGGTAAGAATTCTGAAACTAGTTTTTCTGGGGTGATTCAATTTAAAATTAATATAAGTATTTAATAGTCTTACCCTGAATTGTATCATAGCTGTGCTGAAATAGTACAGTTGAAAACAAAAAAACCCTTTCATGCTAAAACCAGTCAGTTAAAATGCATTCCTTTCTCACACATTCAAACTCTGTTACCTATTACTTTTATTATAGGTTGAAATTCAGCAGTAGGTTTATTTCTTAATTTTGATTGTTTGTTGTAACAGTAATAACACTGTCAGAATGCAGGGATGGTGAGGCCTCAGCTCCCTGGCTTTGTCACTGATTCAGCTGGTGTCATTTGAGCAGATGATGATGATGATAATAATAATAAACTTTTAAAACTTCTCTATCTATGAAATGTGGATGTGATTCAGTGGTAAAAAGTGAGAATTGGTGTAATTGGTTTTGGTATAGCACTTCAAAAATTTCATAATAGCTTTCTCTTGACAGTCTAAAAGACTGAAAATACTCTGAAAATAAATGTGTCTAGAAGACAATAGGAATAATGAAGAATAGCCAAAGCTTTAAGATAATTTTATTAAAACCCCATAAACTTCATGTTTATTAAAGTGCACAGAGCCACTGTTAATCCCCTGTGGCATTCCTCTTGTTTAATTGTTGGGATGCTGCAATGAAACATGTCTTAAAAGGAAGTTACCCAATTACATGTTCATTTTTCAATATTAAATGTGTCTCATTTTACCAGCAAAAATTATTTATTTGAACTGGAATTCACAAATTCATCTGAGATTCTGAAAGTAAAGGTTGGCATTTTCTTGCATATAATCCCATTATTTAGCCCTTTCTGTTTGTGCCCCATGTTACTTTCTATTTATATTCTGTGACATCTGCAGAACTGCATTGCCATTCAAGCTTGCCTGGAAGTCATTAAGTGAAATTTAGAAACAGTTATGTTAATGAACTAGGATGTAACTGAATCCACTGTGCTGTCTTTAGCTGTTTGACTGCAGAACAAATGTAAAAAGCAGAAAAATAAACCAAGAAACATCATTCTAAGAGCAGCAGATAGAGCTTTTGAAATATCTGAGGAGAATGTTTAGCCAGTCAAAAATGTGTTGTCATGTAGTCACATACAGTGTCAACTTCATAGGCCTTCTGGTCTAGTAATAGCTATTTTTACATCTTTGTTTTGAGAGCACTTATTGCTATGGTTTATCTGTTGTGATGTGGAACTCCATGCAAGAGGTTTTTGAAACTTCACTGCCTTCCAGGCGGGACTTGAGAAGAACAAAAATAAATCCCTCTGCTCCAGGTTAATAGTAGCCTTTAACAAATTACAATAATATTTGTAATGATCCCTCTATCTAAGACAGAAATATTGAGTATCTAAAACAGAAATACGAAATATTAGATCCATTCCAGGCAAGCTGCTGAACTACTTAATCAAATGTATCTTTGTGAAAATTTGTAAATTGGTTAATTTGTGAATTACAAATATTAAGATATCTCACATTCCTTCAATAGTTTTGCTGTCTCTGAAGTGCCCAATATGATTTTTTTTTTTTTTTTTTTTTTTAAATGCCTCCTGATAAGTATGTAGTATGATCTTTGTGTTTCTTTCCGATGATGTGAGTCTTGGCAGGACATTATTTTGTCCTTCAAGCAAACGTTCCTTAGCTAGAGGTAAAAAGAAGTGCAGAGTTTTAATGCAAGGTGACATACATTTCCTGATGCTCAGTCTTCTGAACCCAGATAGAAAAATAAATTAGGTACTGATCTCTTGAGGATATATATGCTGGGTCAGGGCAAAGAATATTAGGATGCTAATGGTTGCTTTGATGCCAAGGGACCACTTTGACACACAACGTATACAGCAGTAAAATGTTGACCACTGTAAACAGAGATTGTAAACTATTTACTGTGTTTACAGACCACTTTCGATCCTGGGGTTTTGCTGGGAAGGGGAAAAAAGGGGAGTGAATCTTTTACTCTGGAGAGTACAAATGAAATAAAATTCAGGCAGCAATGCATTCTGCAATAAAAGTGTGCTAGGTTTTACCAGACTGATCAGTATTTGCCAGGAAGTAGGAAGTGCTAGGATTTCTTAACTTTGGGTCTCGTACTCCTATTGGTACAAAACCAAAGAGCTAAATAATTAAGTTTTTTAAAAACCCATAGAAATGATAGTGTTTGGCACTACCCTGGATTTCTGTCACAGTTTGAATGTTTTCATCCTCCTTCAGTGTTTTTATCTTTGTTTTTAATGAAGTTCATATTTATCCAGATTTCTGAAGTAATTCACAAGGACAAAGAAAAGTCCCAGAACCCACTGAAAGGGGGTGGGGTGTGTTACAACATCAGACAAACCTCATGAGAGAAACTTGTGAATTGATACCAATGCTGTGTGTCTTACCTTGTATTTCTCATTTACTCCTTCTTCACGCACATTGACATCATCAGGACAAGTCTCTGTGAAATCAATTAGGTTAAATCTTTGGAGAGGCAGAGTTCTAAACTCTAAGCATCTTTCTTTGTATTCCAAAGAATGCTTGACATAAAATACACTTGCTGTCTCATATGACTGCTGCCTGGCCAGTAGATCCAATAGAATCTCTAAGACATGAGATGTCTTGTTCTGGGTGCCAGTGGTTTTCACACAAAACAAAACTGCAGGCTCCTACAAAACGTGTTTGAAAGGTGGAGGAGTAACATGCCTCAAGATCAGTATCTTAGCAAATGGCTGGAAAAAGATTCCTTCGGCACTCAGTAAGGCAACATTGTTCTGGGACATAACACACAAGTGCTATTTTCATGGAAATACCATCATAGTGTCGGCAAGAAATGTTGGGGTTTGTGCACCAGTGGAAGCAAAAGAAGGAGATTTAGATTATTCTTCACCTTTTAGTTGCAACTGATGTAGCTTTTTTGATGTGACAGTTCTTGGTGGTGATTTGGGTGGGAGTTTTAGCCCGAATAGGAGGAATTTTGTGTTATATTACAATCAACGTTCAACTATAAAGACATCAATATAAAAGGACATTTAATAAAATAATCATTTTTATTAAGCTGTCTTTTTATAATTGCATTCTGGGAGCTAGAAAATGTTAGCTCATGCTGTAAAAATTGGTAAGAAACTATATTTTCCAAATCAAGTTAATAAGATAGCAGTACAACTCCAGTCATTTTAAATAAATACTTCACAAGTTTCCATGGAAAACACAAATAAATTCTGTACTTTTGTTTATATGAAAAGAAGAAAAAAAGAAAAAAACCCAAGAAGCTGTGGAGCTACAAGTTTCTGGGCATTTTAAGCTTCCATATAAGTACTATAGCAGTAAAATGCAGTTTAATTTTATTTTTCCCCATGTGAAATAGGAAATATATAACTGAAAGTGAAGGAGAGTGGAGATATGCCAATTACTTTATATTCACAAGTATCAATGTGTTAATGAAATATTTTACAACAAGGTTTGCAGGAAAGAGTCTGTCTCATTTTCAACAGTATTTTGAGTTGAAACGTGTTTGTCCTGGTCCTTGAAGTGTAGGTAGATCATGTAGCTGGTGAGGCAGGGTCTGTGGCTTCCAGAGGAGCTCCACAGAGGCGAAACTCAGGAAGGCAAGAAAGACAAGATTGAGATCATTGCTACATGCACAGCTTGCTTTCTTTTTTCCAGACTGCCACTGATATATTTTTCACTCCAGGAATTACACTGCCAAAATGTATCCTCCAACAAACCATACCCCAAGTCTTATCTTCCAAAGAAGCTAATAACTAGTTTAAGCCAGTAATCAAGGTTTATCATAGTCCATTCAAAAAGAATTGGGGGTTTTTGGTTATCAGGTTTTTTTGGTCTGCCTAATTATTTGAGATTTTAAATTCTTGCCAATTTCTCTTACCCATGGATTTTGCGTAAGTTGACTTTGTTTTCTTTCACTAGCTCTGGGGGAAATTATTTTATTCGGAAGTCTTCCTTGATGCTAGAAGTTTAGGTCCCTTGAATTTTATTGTTTGCCAAAGTAGCCTAGCACTAAATCTAGGTAGTTGTGAAGGAAACATGCATTTGATCATTGAGTTTTAAAATTAAATTAGCCTGATTTTTATGTGCCTATTGCACATACTGCACATAGGCAATAGAAGTATAGAAGCATATACTGAATTGGTTTGAAACACCACTGAATTGGTTTAAATACTAAGATCTGTGTTTTTTTCCTTAAGGTTAAAATAAGCAATTTATGATGAATCAATGGTGTTTTGTAAATTAAATGTTGACTGATTTTGAGGACTTCCATTGAGTTGTTCAGAATCAGATTGACACACTATATTCTCTTACTACACTTCTTAAAAATATTGAATGGATGCATATTTTATGTTGTATTGACAATATTTTAGAAAAAGATAAATAAGAAGGCAGGAACTCTAGTCATTCTCATGTCATGTGCTTCTGATACACAGGTATATGTGAGTGTATGTTACACAGTTATGAGGTGATGTTAAATATAAAAAGTAGCTTTAGGGTTTACTTCTTCCTTCTGTGCTACAGTTGCTTCTAGGTTTTCTGGATGTTTGGACTTAAAAAATAAAAAACATTTGCAGTTGATACATTCTGCTTTTTCTTTCATTGTACATCTGACTGCCACTAGATGGTGATAGACGTGTGTACAATATTAACTGTATGGCAACGAAGATTGGAGTTCATTTTCATATGACCCTCAATAACTGACTGGGAAATCAATAGTTACTAAAACAGTGTAATTTTGATTCTGCCCTGTGATTAAGAGCATTGCATGGAGCTTTTCATAGCAAAGAAGGATGCTGCCTGGCATCCAACACACCTCTCCTTATAGCAGCAGGCCTCCTGTGCTGAACTTGTAGTGGACTTTCAGAAGAGAGCAGGTCTCCTAAAAGCAGTTCTGCATGAGGACTGTTGCTGCACTCAAGGTTTTTGGGTTCTCTGTCCAGCACCTTGGCCTACTTAATCAAGGAGATAAAAGGCATGGTTGAAGGTGGGGAGGAAGTGTTTTCCTTTGGAAAAATTATCTTCTAGGAAAGAAACAAAGCACCCTTATATTCTAGGTCAAGAGGCTGATTGTATGTGTTCCTGAGCAGTCAGGAGAGGATCATCTAGTCCTAAGGCCCATTTCTTTCAAGCCAATAAAGAATTCTTACCTTGGATTGTAACATAACATAAAATTGCTTCTATTTTAGTTAGCCCCCTGCCCCGAAACCACCACCACCGTCATATGAACAAAGCTACATCAAGTGCAATTGCTTCAATACTTTGAAGCTGGTCCTTAGCCTTGAACATTTCTGTCTGTGCACCTAGGAAATAATAATGTGGACCATTAGAAGAAAAGATCTCTGATATGTCTTGTATACTGTAAACGTTAAACTAAACATCTGCTACATAGCAGCAGATTACTTTCTTAATGCACCCCAAATTTTTAAAGATTGTCCAAATTTCATATTAAAAAAAATCTTTCATTTTTAGTTGCACGTTTCATTCGCCTTGTCTAAGCATGTTTAAATTATTTCTAAGGTCTCCAGATAAACGTTTTCCTTCAAATTGTTGTTAGAGTCAGTTATGAGCAAATCTGGTTTTAGTAGAGATTCCTATTTGTTGTCCTTCATTTCTCTCTGTTCAGAGTTTCCAATATAGTATCTAATGAAATAGATCTCTGTTTTATAGAAGTTTTAAAGAGATCAAGTTTAATACAAAACTTGAACTAAACATTTAATTCCACTGGGAATAATTTTGAATATGGGAAAACTTGTACTTCGTTGTGTAGGTGTCTTTCTGTTTGAAGCAGGCAAGGTAAGTTTCAAGTAACGGTCAATGTTTTAGTTGTAGATAAACTAGAGAGATTATTTTGGAGTTTTTTCATCACTACCTCAATGCAGATGCAATTGAATTTCTTTCCCTCTGTTTAATATCAGTTTTCTTATCCCTCTGTTTAATATCAGTTTTCTTATCATTTTTTAGAATCGCCAGATGCTGATATTGCCATGGAGGTAGCTACATCAGAACAGCATGTTTCTGAGGCAATATATGATTGTGTTATTTGTGGACAAAGTGGTCCTTCTACTGAAGACAGACCTACAGGGCTAGTTGTACTATTACAAGCATCCTCAGGTATGAATGTGTGACTTGTTGGACAAGCAGTGTTTCTGCAGCATTTAGTATGTGTGCATAAATACTGTTGTGTCTCATGGAGTCTGGAAAAACAGTCTTCCCTTTTTTTGTGGATGGTCCTCCATGAAGCACATGTGTAGGTCTAAGGGTACTGAGAAAATTTTTAAATGTTTGGGAAAAGAGCGAACAGTTTCATTCCCTCCTAGTTCCTATTAGCTTTTGCAAACCCAGCCGTATATAATAGACCTGCAGGAAAACAGGTATTGAAAGAAAAAGAAAATAAAATAGCCATTGGTGTATCTATATATATGTATGTGTGTTTGTGTATGTGTATATATACACTTTATGTACAAGTGCAAAAGCACAACTTTCAGTATTCAGTTTCTTTAATAATTTTTTTACTGTTTAACATCAACAAAGCACACTGTAGTTACAAGCCAGAATTTCCTGATTGTTTTCTTAATTGTTTAGCATATTATTATCCATTGCATTTTTTATTGCTTCTTTTCATACAGTATTGGGACAATGCCGCAATAGCACTGAGCCAAAGAAACTACCAACTACTGAAGAGGAGCAAATATACCCTTGGGATACCTGTGCAGCACTGCATGATGTGAGGCTTACAACTTTACAGCGATACTTTAAAGATGTAAGTATTTCTTATGAACAATACTACTACTTATGAAAAAATTGTGTAAAAAGGTAAATTAAATTACAACTTAGAGTCCTCCTAGTTTCATGTCTACATTTAGTGAACACTTGTCATGTTGCAGTAGTTATGAAATGTTTACGTTTGATAGGGTCCTTATTTTTAAATAGTGTCTGGCTTTTCCCTAGTTATATTTTTGGCATAGGCATCTAGTATATCTACAGGCTATATAGTCATTAACTATCCATGCAGATGTTCGCTAGAAGATATTTCACAATTCAGTGTGGCCACACAATTGAGATGTGTTTCTGCTGTCTTAGGTATTACTTTCAAAACACCAGTTTTCTTGTGGCCATTCAGTTACTCTTAATCAGTTAAAAGTATTGTTGGCAGCACAGAGTAAGTGGAAAGAGTTGTTTTAGCTTGTAACAGTTCTCTGAGCTACTACAGAGAAGGGGAGGATGAGTGGATGGGAAGGAGGGACCAGCAGAAGACTTCACCCTCTTCTGCTGAATCCTCAACTTTGCGCAACATTACTGAAGTTCAGTTTTACGGTAATTGGTATGTTATTTTATGTTTTGCAGTTCTGTTAGCTGTTCCAAGCAGAGTTTTGCATTGCTTCACAAAGCCACATTACAGCTTTTCATATTTAATTTTGAGAGCCAATTCTTGTTGCTTAACAGGACTTGTTCAGTTGTAGACCTTTGTGGAAGTGCTGCCTGTGACTTTCCTTGCTGGTGTATAAAACAGCCATGTAAGATAATACATAACTGTTCTGAGAAATAATTCTGGGGAGAAGAATATGTAACCTATGGCCCTAAATTAGCTCCTATAAACTAGTCCCAGGTGACATACCAGCTTTTAGGCAGATCTAACTAAATAATCAGCCTTTAGAGTCTTTAAAGAGGAAAAACTGTGGCAATTTTTACTCTGACACAATTGCTAGCTTTTTCATAATCTGTCATAATTGATCTGTGATAATTGAAATTTGCCAACTGCAACCAAGCTTGCTTATGTAGAGTAGATTAATTTAGAGTAAATTTAGTAATTGATACAGTTTTAAAAATTGGGCAATGTTTTCAGAACAGCACCTTCTCCTGAGGCAAATATACGTTTACTTGCTAGAAAGTACAACTTTTAAAGATGTAAGCAGGAAATTATTTCTGAACAAAAGATATTTTAGTTCAGAAAGAATCTGTGGACAAACTTTTCTTCTTTTGACATTGATGATGTTTGTTTGTTTCAAATAGTTAATGAATATCTTTTCCTACTGAAGTGATTAAAAATGTTGAAGCAATACTGTAGCTTTATTTTTACATGTTTGCATACTACACAGGGAAGGAGTTCCAAGCAAAATGTTACTCAATAATTTGATCTCACTGAAGTGTATATTTCCCTTTCTGTGCAGTAACACTACCAACAGATTAGGCTAAAATATACTGTAATGCAATGGGCAAATGCATCCTGCTTTGAAAAATTCCAGTCCTGATTCAAACATTAGTTGAATTAGCTATTTTTGCTTTCAAGTTTCCAGGTCACTACTGTGCTAAAAAATGTCTCTGCATGAAAGAACTAATCCTTAAATCTCTTTTGGCATAAAAATGGAAACATCTGTTAGTGTCTTGAGCGTCTTGTTCAGCTGAGCTAAGCAATAAGAAGTCCTTTTGTTTATCAACTGTGTCCTTCCCAGTAAGTGTCCTTCCTCTAACAACAGATTTCAGGAGGCAAGAGAATAATTTCACTTAGATGTGAAAATTTTAAATTATGAAACATGATCTAGCTCATCCTACTGGAAGAAAAAAAATATTCAAAATCTACGTGCTATATACAGATTGGGCAAAACAGGCCAATTCTGTCCATAGAGATTCCTTTTGTGCTTTCTTAGCTGAAATTTGATGCTTGCTGTCAGTCAGGGAGTAGAGTTCTTGCCTGTTAAAGGAAAAATCACTGAAAGTTATTATTTTTAATATGGAGAGGTATGACTAAGGGTTAGGAGATAAAACTTCATATACTAGATTAATAGGACTATTTTCAGAATCACATAGTACTCTGTAACCAATAACTTGATATAGGTGTGCTCCATCCCAAGCCTGTGGCTTGCTTTGGAATCTCCTTTATTTCTGAACTGAAGAATAATAGAGTAAAGCCTTTCTGCAAAGACTTTGGGGTTGTTTTTTTTCTTATGCAAATGCCACTAAGTAGCCTCATTAAATACATGCAATAAATGATGCTTTTCCTGAACGAAACATTTGTCCTGTGGGGCTTATCCAGGTATACCATACGACCTTACTAATAGTGCAGACTACTAAATTATGCAGGAACCAGCAGGAGAAAAAGTTTTTCTTGTTCTATGGCCTGAGAGGGTCATAGCACATTATGAATGTCAGGTTGAGGCAAGGTAAATAGGAGCATGTCTTAATGATAGAATTTGTAATTCTGTTTTGATTTCCTGCTCATACGCAAGAAAAAAAATGAGGTGCTAGGACTTCCTTAGAAAATGCAACTATCGGAGTTAGTTATTTACAGTACCCTGGTTTTGCATCATACATTAAGACCACTTTAGGGTGAGTCTACACTAAAAATTGTTTTCCAATTCTGGTAGCCATAAATCTTTTTCTGTTCTTTAAATGTATAACCAGAATGTACATTTCAATCTGTGTATGAAATTATTTTTTTGAGAAATGGAGATTTGATAATTAGACTGACTAAGCTAGGTAGCTAGGTCATATAGCTAGGTATTCTGCAAAAGAATTTTCTAGAATTCCTTATCATAAGTTTGCCAGTGGTGACTGTTTTTTCAGTTCATTATTTTCTGGGAACTATCAGTGAGGTAACTTGATTTTTGACATGTGAGCTGTAAGTGCAGTTTTTGAATAAGGCCAGTGTTTTCAAAACAATCGTAGTATAAAACTCAATTCACTAAACAGGTATTTGTTCTCTTTTCCCTTTATGTGTTATATACAATATTGTTCAATAATGCATTAAAAACCCTAAGTGTTTACACTGAATTTTAATAACAGGTTGGGGTTTAATTATATAACTGTGATCTTGTTATTTTGGTTACATGCAAAACTGAATTAAATGTATTGGAGCAGTATATTGCCTTTGGACATGGGATAACTTGTACTGTTGGAACAGATGGTAGGTAGAGTTAGAGCTGTCTTCATGCTGTAATACAAGAGGTTCTTTAAAGAAGTCATTATCTTAAGTGACAAGAACTGCAGAAGTTTAACTTAAGTGTTTGGCTCTTTGTTGGAAAGAATAGCATAATGGCAGCCATGTAAGTTAGCACAAGTAAATACTTTATAAAATAATTTTTTTTCTTATTTCCACAGCATGTCTTTTAATTAGATAGCATGCAAATAAAAATCTATGTATTTTTTAAAATCTTTAAATAAGTTGTGGTAAATACCTTTATAACTTTATATATACTGTTGTTCTTTTTTCTTACTGTTTTTGCTTTGTTTTAGAGTTCCTGCCTGCAAGCAGTATCAATAGGCTGGGAGGGAGGTGTTTATGTACAGACTTGTGGTCACACTTTACACATAGATTGTCACAAATCTTACATGGAATCTTTACGGGTAAGTAAAACTAAAGATCGTCTTTTTTTATTTGCATCTGAACTGTTCTTAGTGAAGTCAATTGGATTTATGCTGTTCAATTAAGAAGAAGAAAGATTGGGTTTACATGAATGGACAAGGATGTTTTTACTATGTTTCAAGAACTGTAGATACTAAATCTCTTATTACATCTTGACATTATTAACAGAAGTACTTTGTTTTCAGTTATTCTGATATATCAGAAAAAAATACTTGACTAAATTAATCCTGTTCTTAAAAAAATAAATCACTGGGTTTGGGGTATTTTTCTTGTGTGCATATTCAGGTAAAGCATTTCTTACACTCTCCATTTCTGTTTCATAGATTCCTATTTTGATGTTTAACGTGTGTTAGAAATTACAGAGAAACTGAAGAAAAAATGAGAGGGAATTTTACAAATATAAACTTGTGGTTTTGGTTAATTCCTAGTATGAAAATTCAGTTACAAAAAGTTAGATATTTATCTCCAGTTACGTATGGTATATGTTACCTATATGTATGCAGTTTAGAGAAATGAGTTAAAATAGTTCAACTCTTGTGAATTATGCTTTTTTTTTTTTTCCCTCCTTGGAAAATACTGTTGGGAAATTACTGCTATACATGGTTTTAAAATACAGTTTGTTAGTCAAACCTCAGAAATTGTTGGCTAGAAAATACATCCTTATTTTCACATGGTCTGAGTAAACAGGGTAGAGTTGCATTGATGTTGCTGGCCTCCTTCGCCCCCCTCAACCTCTTGCAGCCCAATTGCAGATCTTCTGAATGGCACCATAGAATGTTATCACAAGCTCAGCAGTGGTAGAAGCCATTGGATTTTAAGCAATCATTTCCCTCCGTATTATTTAGTGTAATAAAATAAAAGACTAAATGATGACTTCTTGTTGCATATGTAACTGCTTTTTTATTCAAGATTACTTTATGTGATATTCCTTTAATTTTATTTTTTCATAAGTTTTGTTGATTTGTTTCCATTTTGAGAAAAACTATGAGCAATGCTTTGTATTTTTAGAATCAGCATTGGTCATACTGTGTAATTTACCTGTAGAGAAGTTGGAAGCTGTGCCACCTTTATTGGATACCATGATGAATTGTTCTTTTCCATATGACTGTAAAGATGTTTTTGGGGGTAATTGTGTCATCAAGATAATTAAGTAAAATCTGGGCTTTCATGATAGAATCTAATTTTACAGAATTTTGGAAAAGCAGTCTTTTGCATCATATAGATACTGAAGTCCCTTTTCTGGCGGATTCTCACTTAAACTTGAAATAAACTGTTAATTCCATCTCATTGTATTCCTGAAGATTTCTAGATTATTTAAGTGAACTTTTGATCCTAGCATGTATTACTACTACCTAGATGAGTGCATAATAATTTTGACTATTCCTAGCATTCTTAGTACTGAAATAACTTATATAGACTTGTGTTCATCTGGATAAAACACTTATTTTTACATAACACAATCAGAGATCAACATCCAGAAAGGTATGTAAAAGTAGGCTCACCAGAATGCCTCAGCATTCTGGGCTGATTGCTTGAGGTTTAAATTACAGTCGCTGTTAACTTAGCAGTTCTCTTCTCCCAGGAGGGGGAAACCGTTGAGCCAATTCACAAGGCTGAAGCAAGGCTGCTTGCCAGTAACAGGAGTACTCGGGAGATGTCCCCACTTCCCAAACACATACTTCTGTGTCCATTTTTTGATCCTTCATGATAAAGAAGAAATAATCAGGGTTTTTGTCATGTTTTTTTGTCATGCTGCCCTCCAGTGGCTACTTGATTAGGTTTTTCAGCCTGTACTCCTTCTGAGAAATACCTTCAAATATTTCTCATGACTGAAAATAAAATTGCCTTTTGATAATTTAGAAGATGTTTTCAAGGGAGTCTCAAAACTTTATTGGGAATTGCTAGAAAGAGGCAACACATGTGAAATGTTCAAAATACCCCATTGAAGTATTTCTAGTTTATTATGGGGATATTGTTGACAATGAAGAGTACTTAAAAATCCGGAAAATTATTTGAGTTGGAGGATTGTAAGATAGTCTTTAGTAGTTAGACCTTCTTCACTAAAATGAGGAGCTATTGCTATTCCAAATATTCTTTCTTTACATTTTTTGGTTTTAGACTTAGTTATTTAGCTGTACACCTGAAATATCAAAGTAAAAATTATAATCTTTTGCAAATTTCAACTACATCTTCTTTATTTTCTTTCAGAATGACCAGGTCCTCCAGGGTTTTTCAGTCGACAAAGGAGAATTTACCTGTCCCCTCTGTAGGCAGTTTGCTAACAGTGTTCTTCCTTGTTATCCTGGAAACAACGTGGAAAGAAGCCTTTGGCAAAGTCATAGTAACAAGTGTATGCAAGATCTTGTACAAGAGGTGGAAGATCTTCAAGAACAGCTGGGAACTTTCCCAGTAAGCATCAGTGTAAGGCAGAAAGATCCTTGTTAATTTGCCTCTACCTTTCCGTTTTTACATCATGTTGCATTTGTGACCTCTTAGAAACTTGACAACCTGGGAAACTTCATTTTCTTCTGATTTGGAAGATAGCATACTATTTTTTTTCGTATCAAGAAATTTAAAATATTTACAGCATTTACTGCATTACCCTACTAAAAATAAACAATTAAAAAGCTGTGACAAAATGTGATTAATATAGTCTTTTTATGGAGTACATTTTCACTTCTCTCCATAGTAATTTACATGAAATTCATTTATCATTTCTTTACAATGTAAAAACACCAATATCCTTGTAACTGGAAGCTATTTAAAGAATGTCTATTAAGAACATTTTAAGGTATGGATTATTTGTTTTACAGAAAGAGCAGTTTGCAGATGCTCATGTATTACAAAGCTTCATGAGGTCTTTCTGAATGATAGAATTAATTCTATTAAATTTTGCTAGCCTTCCAGTCTTGATGGAGATACTTTGTGTTATTTTCATGTACTTGTGCAATGCAAATATACTTCAAAATAATGCAAGCAGTGAGATTCTTGAACTTAGGAGATGGACAAAACAGTTATGTTTTCATATTCAGAACAAATCAGAACAACTTTCATAATACTGTAACACTTCTGTGAGACAGAATATTGGCTTTTAATGCATATTTTTCATAAGCTGCAAATGTGTTTTTATGAATATGAAAGTGCTACGCTTTGTGATAAGCTATTGCATTTCTTCAGGTAAAATTAACTAATCTTCTTGTGTGTCTTTGTTCATAGTCTGAAACCAATCTCAGTAAAGAAATGGAATCTGTAATGAAAGATATAAAAAGTACCACACAGAAGAAGTATACAGATTATAGTAAGAGTCCTGGATCACCTGACAATGATTTTCTGTTTATGTATTCAGTAGCCAGGTGGGTATGTTTTTTCTTTTTATATTTTTTTAATTTGTGTTTCTCACTAATGGTATTACTCACCAGATAGTTTTCTTCTTTAAAAAAAAATTTAAAAATTATTCCATCCTCTCCAGAAAGTACTTTTTGAGTACTTAGTACATCGAGGTTACATTTTCTGATTTTCATATGCAGGCATATGCAAGATGGAAAGATGTGCCTTTCAGTTCATTTTTAGTATATGCAGCAGTGGCACAAAACCTGGAGAACATTTTGTCTTCTGCTTATTTAGTTTTCTTCTTTATTCAAGGTTTTGCTTTCCATATATCAAAATTTTATGTTGAATTTCTTTTTCTACCTTCCTTTCCCAAACTGTTGAATCTTCTCTACTACTATTAGCAGAATGAGATTATTTCTATATCACTGCCATATTGCTTGTTTTTTAAATCACAGGGTGTTTTTAATCTCTCTGTCAGACATTAGTTTTGTTTACTTAAACAGGGATCACAGAAGGAGTCTCTTCTACATCAGCAACCAGGAATCTCTCTTCATGTGAATAAGACTTCTAAAAAAGTGTCAAAACTACCAGCATTTTCTCTGTGATGTTTGATTCCAGTTTTATAGCTGTCAGTGTCACAGACATCATCTCCAAGAAAATCAAACAGTCCCTCCTTCCATCTATACCATTAATGTTAAGATGCTCTGAATGGTTAATATCTTCAGGTGTACCGTAATACAGGGTTTTCCCATAAGAAGAAGTTGAAATACTCATTAAGCAAATAATTTTCTAAACTCTGACTTACTGAGGCCTGTAGGGAAGGTGCTGACTGCAGAAAAAGTACAAGCATACAAGTGATATCATCCAGTAGCAGTTTTTACTGCGGTTTCATAAACTCTGGTTGCTGAGTGTCGTTAGTATATAAGCAGTGGAAATATTCAAGACTTGTCTCGGCAGAACTCTGGATAATCACATCTAAGGCTCAGCTTTTGACAGAAGGTTGGACCATCTGATCTCCAGAATTCTCTTCCAACCTAGATTATTGTATAATTCTATTAAAAGAAATATTATCTGTATTCTTTAAGAGTATCTTAACTGTGCCTTGAATAATAAGAGCAATTAAATTTTATACATAGCAAGTTAAAAGATTATTCTGTATTACTTTAAGCGGTATATGCTATACAAAGATAAATAATGTTGAGATTTTTAGCAATGATGTGTTTGGTCAATACAATTTAATATCCTTCAAAAAAATACGAAGGACTCAAAATCAATGTTTCACATATAAAAGTATGATTACTTGTAACCATAACTTGACATGCCATTTAAGGTACAAAAATAGTGTTATAATATATTTCTGGGTGTAATATTACATAATTTAAAAACTGCTAGCTAAACATATTTTAAATACATCTATAGTTTATGACTTTTACACCCTAAGCCCAAGAGTTTTGTTTTCATTCCAAGAATTAAAAATACCTCAAACCAGAACAGCATTTCATTGCTGTTTGCACTGCTGGAGAGAGAAATCATGGTTGACCACTAAGATTAGGATATGCCATCTGTATTTATTGTGACCTCTTCTTGTTAGGTTAGACTGGTGTCAGCAATTTTCCATTTATCCGTGGCTGAAGGATTTCAGGTGTTGTTACCATAAGTCCTAAGATCACTTATGAGGGTGCCTGGCAGATCAGCTACAAAATGGTTAATTTATCTTCCCTTTCAATTCAGCAATCCAGATTTACAGGCTTCTACTACTTGATAATTGCATAAGAACTACAGGTTAAAAAAATTAAACTTTTAGAAAGACATTTTAATTTTAATAGAACCTTACAGTTTGTATTTTTGGAAATAAATATGTAAGTGAGTCCCAGACCGAAAGAGTTTTCTTTGTATGATTTTAGTATGTTTTGTTTAAGAATGCAAACAATGGACTATCCACAACTTAAATGGCAGGCTGAAGTAACTTGCTTTATGGAAGTTATTCCTGTCATTCAGCCTGTTTCTTCCTTATTTCCATCCAATTCTTTTTGAGGTAATGATATCCTTGTGTTCCTTACCAACCAGTTACCTTTGAGCATTTCTAGTTTCATGTATTCTGAAACATTTCATTGTTTTTGGTCAGACCATGTACAGCTGTTATTCATTTCTTCCTGGTATTTAATCTAACATACAGATAAAGTGGTCAAGATGATAAGGAGCCCCTGTTTAAATAAGCATTTCAATGCAATGATATTTTTATTGACTCCATATATTTGCAAGTGAATTAAACACTCTTAATCTTCTTAGAAGTCATGTTCCATTTTCAATCAGAAAATTACATCATCTGCAGTCTTCTTAAAAGATGCTAGTTTACAGCTGGAGTCCAGCTTTGAAGTGGATTTCTGCATGCTGGAATGGGAATACTACTGGTTAAACAAGACGTAGCCACTTGCCCCAGCTTATCCTTTCTGCTTCAGGAAAGCGGGCACTTACTTTTCTTACTTCACTTTTGCTTACCCAGAGAGATGTCACTGGTAGCAGAGAAAAGAAATTACAAGCAAATTCTCTACCATCTAGTTAGTGGGAGAGCTAGCCCCTGTCTCTTCTCCTAGCAAAAGAGGCACTCAGAGTCTTGGCATCCTGATTTGCATGCACAGCTGGAAAAGCAGCTCCTTAGCTACCTCCCCCTTT